GCCACCCTCCCGAGCCCCACGACGCCGTCCTCGGGCGGAGGCGAGGGGGGCCCTGGCTGGGGGTGCGCCGGGGCCTACGGCCACGACTATGTCTCGGCCGCGACCTTGGCGCCCCGCCGAGCGAGGGTGCATGTGCATCGCCATCAGCGCCACCAACGCTATCGCCGTCTTCGTCCCCGCCCGCCGCCGCCGGGCCCACCCCGGAGGGGCTCTGGTCCGCGCGCCCGGAAACTGCGCCATGCAGCCGGGCCTAACGGGAGCACGTGCGGCTAGCCTACCCCCTCCAGTGCACGGTGATCGACCGGGCGCAGCGGTCTCCGGGGAGCGCGGGGCGGGGAGAGGGGGGGGGGGAGGGGGAGGCTCCTCACTCGCAGCAGCACGTGGAAGGCCCGACAGCCCGAGAGCACCACGGAGCGGGCGGGGCGCGCCAACAGTGCGTGCCGCCGCGGCGCCCCGGGACCCTTCGCGGGCCCCCGCGGCCCCCACGGGGCTCAGCGCGGCACCCCCAGGATGTTTGTCAAGGGGCTCAGGAGCGAGAGCGCGGGAGCGAGGCCCCGCCGGGGAGGGGGCAGCGCCCCGGGCGCCAGAGGGGTGGCGCGGGCTGCGCGGGCTGGTGGTTCAAGGGCGGTTAGGTCGCTTCGCCTAGCAACGAGCCTAGGCCCCCTCCCGCCACCGCTGCCGCCGCGGGCGCCCGGAGGAGGCCCGTGGCCCCGTGGGGGCTTAACCTGTTGAGGGCTGCGGCTGCCTGCCTGCCTGCCTCGCCGCACAGCCTTGCCTGACGTGAGTGCCTTCCAGCGTCACCCGCCGGGAGCGGGCCTCTCGCTCGCACCCATACCGACGGGACGGGTCCCGGGTCCAGCTGGCCGGACAGCGCAAGTCAGGCGGCAAGACACACCACCGCCGCGCCACGCCACGCCTAATGCCCCCCTCGATAACGCGGGACATTCCAAACAGGCTGGCCGGGACTGTGGGAACACACATCCTCACCGCACCGGCGGCACCGTGTGCCCCGGCGGCGGCCCGCCCCCGCCCCGAGTCAACGCGCCCAACAACCGCCTCGAAGGTCGCACCCCGTTCGTCAGCAACGCCTTCCTGCATTGCGTAATGCGCGATAATGACTCAGCGGACGCAATGGCGGGCGCCTCCCCCACCCCCGTGACCTTGGGGGGTGGATCGGCCGCCCCCACCCCACCCCCCGGCCACTAGGCCCGCGAGCCTCGCGAGGACCCTCGCACCGAGGGGCCACGCCTGGGCGAGCTCCTATACCACCACTAGAAGCAGGCGACAGGGCAGGTTCTCTCTCACTACTAGGAATGACCCCCCGCACGTCCACCTCCCCACTCTTCCAAGAGAGGGGAGGGGAGGGAGTGGAGAGAGAGGGGAGGGGAGGGAGTGGAGAGAGAGGGCGCTGTTTCCCCGATACGTGAGAGTAGGGGAGAGAATCAATAACAACCACAGCTCTCCATCTCTCCTCTCTCGCCGTCTCCGCCGCTTTACTCGCGGGGGGGAAGTGCTAGGGGCCGGCCGGCAGGTGCGCAGGCTTATTGGCGTGGCGAGGCGCAGTTTGCGGCGCCTGACCCCGGCTGGCTGCAGCCCCCCCCCCCCTCACTGGACGCAACGTAACAACCTCCGGGTGGCTCCACGGTTACGTCCTCCAGACGACGGGCTGCCCTGCCGTCGCCATGGCGATAGGGGGGACGCACCGCGGGGGCGCCTCAGGTGGAGAGATACTCCCTCCCCTTCCCCCCGGGGGTCCTCCAGGGTCCTCCAGGGTCCTCCTGGATCCGCCCCAGGGTTCCCATGGAGCCACTGCAGCGGCCTTCGGGTCGTCACCGGATCCCCACCCGCGCTCAGACGACCCAACAGGACCAGTTCCACTTTTTTTCCCTCCTCACTCCAAAACAATCACACGACATCAGAGGACGAGGAGGTAGGACGAGGCGGTGGAGGAGGAGAGAGCGAGAGAGATTGGGCGTAAAAGCAGAGAGCGAGAGAGGCTGTGAGCAAAGGGAAGGGGGCAGAGATGGGCTATCTGGATGCTGCGAGTGGCTGGACAAGTCCCAGGGTCGCCGACAAAAAGAAGAAAAGGACACGTATAAAAGTGTCACTGAAAAACATAAACCAAAAGGAAAATACGGGCACCTATAGAGATATACACGAGTTTTATAAGAAAATAATGATAATGAAACGCAGGGAATGCGATAAAAGACGATGTGAGAGGGGGAGAGGCGGGTGAATGGACGAGGAAAGAGGGGGAGGAGAGAAGCGAGCGGGCAAGCTCCGCGGGAAGACTCGGCAACAGCAGCAGATCGCAGCAGCAGCAGCGGCACGAAAGGATTAGAAAAGGAAGAAGAGTCGCCGGGAGAGAGGGAGATACAAGGAAAAGAAACGAATCGGGAGACGAGAGGTCTTCGATGAGCCGAGGAGGAGGAGAGGGCGAGGAGGGAGGAGGGGGCGAGGACGAGGGGGCCAGGGGGGAGGCAGGGACACAAACAGGTGACAGAATGCCGCTACACGGCGCTTCACAACACGGACAGTGCTTCTTGCTCAGGCCGGAACGTGAATGTTCTCCGAGTGTTTAAACCCCGGGCCGGCAGGCCAGGCTGGTCGGGTAGAGAGGGCCGCCCCGCCCCGCCACAACCACCTACCAGCCTACCGATACCGGATTAACATACAGATTGATTCTCACACCTTTGGCGGTGTGCTGTGGATTCCTTCGGCAGCAGCCAGAAGCCAGTCCCGGGCGGGCGGGGCGGCGCCCAACAGGCCCCGGCGCGAGCGGAGCAGAGCGAAGGCGAGCGAGGCAATCGCGAAAAACAATCTGACGAGCCAAGTAGGGGGAGGAGCAGCAGCAAGCAACAAGCGGCGCAGGGTGTGTTTGACGTGCGCGCCACTCGGCGCTGCCCCCGCGCCCCCGCGAAGCAGCGAGGCACTCACTCGTTAGGGGGGCATGCCACCGCGCGGCCCGGGCCACTCTCCGCGGGGACGGACACAATCCCGGAGCAGCACGGCGATAACCATCGGGCCGCTTTCATTTATCATTGTTGCTATGCTGACCGCCAGCCGGCATGCATGTAGAGAATCGCGCGCGCTCCGCGGGAGGCCTCCGGGAGCACCTCCGCGTCAACCATGCAACACCACCTCCGCAGCCGCGTGGACAGGACTCATCGCGCCCATCGACAAGATCGGGACGCATGCAAAATAAAATATAAACTTTCAGCAGAGACGCGAGCGTGTCATTCAAAAAGCAAAACGACGAGGAAATAAATAAAAACGCACAGAAAAGAACAGAAAGAGTGACACCTCCTCTCGGACGTTGCGCTGCTGCTGCTGCTGCTGCTGCTGCTGCTGCTGCGACGCCAGCGGACTGAGTCCTCGCCGCCGTGCCGCGCCAACGCGACGCCCTGCCGAGAGCAGAGGCGCCCAGCGGCGCGACCAGCCGACGCAGCAGCAGCATACACGAGCTCCCCACGTCGTCGACACGACCGCGCTGACGACGGTCGCCCCGCGGGACGAGACGGGGTCAATTTAGCGACGTTTAGAGCGAAACTTGCTCAAGATCGCCAGTGGGGAGATAAGCCCTTGCCAGGACGACACAAACACACACACGGACGCACACAAATATGACGAGGGCCCGACCGGGGCGCACACAAAGGCCACGATTCAAACAGGGCCCGCCAAACAGTTTCACAATGACGAGCGCCGCAACAGATTTGGGTTCTCGAAAACTCTTCAACGAGCCACAGCTCATCAAATGGGCGCATTGCTCCCTGCAAAAAAAAGGTGGGAGCGAGCGAGGAGGAGGTAGGCCACCCCGCCGAGCAGGACCGTCATCACCTTAGAACGCCATGCGCATGCGCACAACCCCACCACCCACTTAACACAGCGAACTCGAAAAAAAAATACGTAAAAATAATAAAAACAACTTGGTATGTCAGGGGGAAAAAATATATTACGGTGAGCTCATGCGATTTTAAGATACGACGACGATGAGGCTCGAGTGGAGGTGGGACAGCTTGATGCATCGCCCGCGCGCATCGCCGCCGAGGATGATGGAGGCTTAAACAGGTGACGAGCCACCCGGAGGGGGAGGAGGAGGACGGGGGAGGAACGCCCCCTGCACCGCGCGCGAGCGAGCGAGCGAGCGGGGGCCCCACATAAACAAGGTAGTTGTAGTAAACACGCGCAGCGCGTGCGTAAATAATCTTGATCCGTCAAAATCTCTTAGCGGCGCGGCGGCACGGGACCGCGCGCAACGACACCGCGGTTACAGGCGCCGCCGCCGCCCCGCCCCGCAGAGTTGTATTGTTTTCCCGGGCCGCGGGGGCGTAAGCGCGTCGGGTCGGGTCGGGGCGGTGACTGATGGTGGGCGCGTCGCCGAGGTGACACACGGGCCAGCCAACCTCCCGGTCGCGGGCCGGGCTCGGCTCACCTGATGAACTCAATCAGAATAAGAAAGCCCCCCTCCTCC